AAAAAAAATCCACCATACAGCACCCTCCAAAGTAAACTTCTCACAGCCAATCACACAGTGGAGCCAGGTCTCTGGGGCCCCGCCTTCCGAAATAGGCACAGATAACCTATTGTTGGAGCCCAAACAGTGGACTCGCACACACTCGCGGATGACCTCACGCACAAAAACACACATTCAGAGTGAGCATTACTTGCGAAACCAGTTGTAAACATGTTTTGTGAAAAACTGGATCTGAGAGAGTGGCAGGTACTGCGAGTGTTTTCACAGCTATTTAATCCCAAAAACTGTTGCGCGCACCGAGAAACTAATGGAAACTAATGGATGGGAGTAAAAAGCAGAGGAGAGAAAGACAGTGAGGAGAGGGCACTCGGGCTGTAAGAGAGGAAAATAAATAAATAAAAATAAAAGGTATTCTTGGTAAATGTAATGTCACATTACAAGCATGCGTCTTCGCTCCTCGCGCACACAAGCACACACTTTGAGGGTACAAGGGAGCCTATTGAGAGATAAATTTGTGTTCTTTAATTCGCGCGCGTCAATGTGATGTGACGTTTGCACTGTAACATTAAAATGACAGCAGGTCTGCGTGCCCACGTGGGGGAATTTGATGACTTTGATCTGAGCTTGTGTGACTGCAATCCATGTCAGGATGAGGACAAAGGGCAGAAATAAGGGAAAATCGTTTTTTACATTTTATTTTTATTTTTCGCACTGGAATTGTACTAAATGTACGTGTAAAAATGTAAATAAACCTTTTTTAACGTTTTCTTCAGCACTTCAAACACAAAAGCGCGCACGTTGCTATTTCAGCTCCTCATATTTCCCATAATTTAGGGCATTTGTGTTCCCTGCACCACTCTGTCGTTTTTTTATGTTTTAAAGCACGATTTAAACTCTCACGCTCTGAAATAAATAAATGTGTCTGAATTCAATCTGGATTAAAACATTATAATTGTGAGCAGTTATCCCCGAAAATCCCACAGCTGAATTTTTAAGAGGATGTGAGCACTAGTTTTTATTTAACGCAAACACACACAGGGGGGACATCTGTGCTGAACGCTGACCAAATCCACCGCGACTTTACTCACAATACAATTCTGTTGGAAGTGTTAGAATTTGTTTCAAGTTGATGGCACAGCCTCCATTTTGAGTTGACTTTGATATCATTCTGCGAACAGTGAAATGTCTGGATAAGTGTTGCGTTTAGGCCAGCCATCTGTACCATCTCCAACTCCAAAGCAGCTAGATGCAGAGCGCCCTCACAATTTAGAGGGGGAGCGAGAGAGGGAGAGAGAGCGAGACGTGGCCGTGTTTTTAAATGGTTCACTGCTGGCATCTACTGGAGAAACGGGGAAGTCCCGGCGCTGACGGCACCCAGCGGACCCTCGCTCTTTTTACTCGCAGAGGCATTCATCTCGCCTTCCAAAGGGATGAGTAACTCCGCAGATGAGGCATAACCTCCAATTCCAGCATCACGCATACCACGAATAACACCCATTATGTGGTTTGGCAAGGACATGAATTACACTAAATGACAGATATATGATTAAAATACTGGCATTCTGGTGAAGCTTCAAATAAAAAAAATAAAAAAAACACTGTAGGTGAATCATACTGTATCTCAACTTCTCATCCAAACATAAAGGAGATTTGTCTGATGAAGAAGAACAACGGAAAAAAAAAAGCATCTCTTCTTATTGTTATTAACAGTCAGTTTGTATCAATAACTTAATATGGATTTAATTTACAAAGCAAAACAAAACTAACTACAAATCCTGATCATAACAAGTTCTTGTTTGGATACAGAATTTGAATGAGAGCTTGAATGTCACTTATTGCACTTTAAGCTCCTCACAGTTGGTTTTCTAACGCTTTATGTGGTTATTAAAAGTGAAAAAAGACCACTTTTAAACTGCTGATGGTTTTAGGTGTTTCACTTTATCGTGATGTTCTTGGCAGACATGATCGAATACCGTGATGCAGAGAAATATAAACATCAAAAATCACTTACTCCAGCTCATTCATGCTTTTCATCATAAAGATCCCAAATTGATGTGCGAAAATGTTTTCATTGGGAAAATAAAGAAAGCAACAAAAATCATTTGAAATATATCCACGTCTGCCGCATGTGACTTTTTGTGAGTAAAAGCATTTGTGCATTTAACACATCACGCCGCTTTTACTAAAGTTTAAAGGTTGCAAGCTGCACAGAGGCACGACGTGCCGTAAAACATTGTTTAAAATATTTAGATACCATAATTACAATCACGTAACAAAAATGTTTTCTGTCCGTGCAGCTTCAAGTGCAGTGACTGAGCCAAAGAATTTTTTTTTATTATGTGAAAATTGTCAGATTCAGTCTGTCTCATCCCTCACCTCTTCATTTGTATGTGTCTGTCTAAATATCTATATGTCTGTGTGTGAGTTAGGAAATGGTTCCCTGTGGAGGAGAGGCAAAAAATCCCCAACCAAACAAAAAAAAAAAAAACAATCAGATGAGCAGTGACGGAAAACATTTCCTGCGTGAACGAATTGCTGTCATTTTTTCCCCCTCAAGAACAATTCTCATCCAATTCTTGTAATTGTTGCCTCATAATGTGACACATTCATATCAGCGAATGCATTCAGCGGCAGTCTGTTTAGGATGCTGTGGATTGAGTTAGAGAGTTCATCATCCATTACAATAAAGAACAAAGCGATCCCCTATCTGTTTCAGACATTTCGCTCTTTATGATGCTGAGTATGGCTCTGAGGTTGTCAGAGAATTCAGACAAACAATATATGGCTTTGAGATATATCAAGAGCCCCACAATAAGATCCTGTGTTGTTGATAATTTCGAAAGGGAGGGAGGGGCGGGGGAGACTGAAGCAAACTCCAGACAAAAGGGATTGTCTTGATTATTTGTCTGTCAGAGATGGCAGGAGCATATTATGAAAAGCGATGGCTTCGAGGATAACGGTGATTGAGATTAGGGCCCTGCTGAGAAAGAGAAAGAGGGGGCGAAATAAAATAGGAGTGGAAAAAAAAGAGAGCGAGGGAAGAAGAGTGAAGAGTGGAGAATAGATGTGACTAGACTAGAAGAGAGAGCTCTGTGATAACTGCCAGCAAACAGCCTGTTTGATCCTGAGGGATGGCAGAGGGATGTAAGGCGTTTGAAGCTGACAATCCCTTTGTGATGATAACACATGTTTTTCAGTGTGTGCGTTGATCCTCCCTCTCCTATTGTAATATGGGCAGCAGACGGCAGCTGCCTGGGCATTGTAGCGCTGCCGCTAATCTGAAACAATATCTTTAGGCCCAGCGTGGTTATGAGCAGCTGTCGGCATTGTGGGAAGCGCTGCTAATCTGCTTCAGTATCTTTAGCCCCTCGTTTAGCTCTTTGATCCTCTCCCATTATGCCTCCCTTTCCATCGCAACAAGCGACTGAGCTTTGGCAAAGCTGTGCTGGAATGTTGGATAGATAGCAGGAAAACAGAGTGAGAAAGAGAGAGAAGACGAAGGGGGAAAATACACAGTGCTCCCATCAGAAACCCTCCAGCTAACAGATGTTTCTTACAGTCTTTCCACGTGTCTCTCACTGTGCATTTACACCTGTCACATACACCAGACAGACAGGAGCAGAGGAGTGAAGACAGACACGCACAGGTCCTCTGAAATAACACAGGAAGAATGCTTCTCCCTTTATAGTTGACAGACCTCTCATTTTTTTCTATTCAGAGTCTCACCCAGAGGCTGTGGTTAAGAGCAAGGTTTCCATTCCCCTGAGACGCAAGCTTAGTGGTTAACATCACTTCAGCTCACGGTTTAAGTTCCAGTCTTTGTGTGAGGCGCAATCACGACATTGAAAGAAGCTGTGTGGTTGAATCAGTGGCGCTCAGTGCACAGTCACGGGATGCCACAAGTGTGCAGGATACTTGGGGAGCACTGGCCTTGCTACACGACCAAAGGCAAGTAGAAACACGGTAGTAGTGACATGCACATATTATATCACACGCCTTACTTTTCGTTCAAAGTGTTCTGTGCTCTGATGTGACACACCAGCACTTACGCTGTTGTAAGAAACTTCTAAAGGAAGTGAAGTGCAGCATGGTCATGGCTGAATATACCACAGCTGAAATTAGACCTTAAAAAATACACATTTGGTGAAAATGTTATTGCACTGGTGGATTTGCATATTTCAGCCCATTATTAGCTTTGTTGGGGGACTGAAAACTTTTTTGAGGAACACAAACTTTATTTTTGTTTTGGAGTATATTGAAAATAATGAGAACAGAACCTCAAACTAATTTTACAACCAATGGGAAATTATATATTTAACAAATGTGGGGACCATTTAGAGGTAAATAGTCACCGAGGTAGGTTTTCAGGGAACTGCATACATTCCAAGGTTTTTCCTGTTTGCATTCACATTGCTAATACAAATTCCAAAGTGATGCATTACCAATGTTTATATGACATATGGCGTTTCTGCATTCACTAAAATTTGTATGTACATGAACAATCAAGTATACTCGCAATACACTCAAAGTTCCTCTTATCCAGAAAAAGACCCTACAACAGACTTCTGGGAATGACTGGTACTACCTCCAGCACTCACTAAAACTATGCAAAAGTTCCTATTGTTAAACCATAATTTTAGATGCCAGTGTTTTGTTTTGTGCCAGCTTTCTGTAATTTAGTGAAGTAGATTTTGGGGTAGGATTTTACGTGGTGTCCACTAATGCAGCACTAACATCCACACCTTTCCAGCTGATAATTAGAGGCCCTATAAGAAACAGCTGCCTTCACTACCACATGGAGGCATTTGGCAGTCTTTTCCCATCCGAGGTGGCTGAGAGTATTAGGCAGCTTAAGCACTGCACAGCTCCTCAGGAAAGCTGCGCATTTTAGTATTGCCCTTCAGAGAGTGGTGAGTAGGACTCTTGTGTTTGTTATACTGTGGCATATAGTAGCGTGGACCTTGACGACTGTTTCCCTCTTTTTGTTACAGGATTGTGCCATACTGCTGCTGTCTTGTTTTGTCTCGTTCTGGCCTGTTATCGTCTTACAAACATTTATAGACTGGCCTCGACTGACTTCTGGTTTTATGGTCTTTTATTCAGAATTGCTTTATACATTTTAATCATACTTTTATATAGAACTGTAACTTGGGGTGTATTTGCTTTATGTATATGTCGTTTACTAATTTAATGTTTTGTCGTTTCATTGCTTTAGTAGAGGTGCGGCCACCTGTTGAGGGGCTAGGCACGTGAGGTGGAATCCCCTCCCTGGTGCATGAGAGTGTACACACCGGGCATAGGTAGATTGCACCATTTAGATTTCAGTGTGAGTGACAGTGAGGTTTGCAGTGGAACTACACAGGTGAGTAATTGGTGGCACCCTTGGGCACTCCTCTCTGTAGGTTTGGTCTCCACCATTTTGTTTAGTTAGTTTATCGAGTTGTTGTTTTGCTAGGGTAGCACCGTGGCAGCGAGCCTTGTCGTTTTAATCATTATTTGTTAATGTGTTTTAATTAACAGTCTTGCAGACTCAGCCCTGCTACCTTAAGAACTTCTCTGATTTTACAGTTCTATGCTTTTAGTAGTTTTTCTTAATAAATTTTGATTCGTAAAACTGATCTGCCTCACCTCAGCTGTTAATAACGAGCCTGTGGGTCTTGGTAGCCAGTGTAACATCTACATTGGCTATAAAAATCTTTCCTGGGGTGTAACTCTCGCCACAGGTGGCGTTGTCAACATCCTTTACTCACCTTCCCTGGTTATCCCTCATTCGTGCCTCCACAGTAAAATGAGGGTTATGTTTTGGCTTGCACAAACAGTGTTTGGATGTAGAAAAATAAACAAAGGTAATAACCTGAAATCACACATCACAAAATCCCTGCCTGCTTACAGTTTCACGTGATATTGTGCTTCTACCTCGTCTTAAGTGTAGCTAAGTTCACCGAGCGGCACCAGTATATCCAAAACGAGAACACAAAGGTGAAAAAAGGGGCTTCCCTTGTTACAGCTGCAGGAAATGCAGGAAAGGTAGCCAGGCTAATAGGCTAATTATAACTATGAAACAAATCAGGTACGAAACAAATTACAGTCTTTAGACAGCTCTGACTGTTGTTGCAGACAGTGAGTAGTAATGAGAATGAAAGATGTGGTAGGTGTAGTGGAGGTGTGTCAGTGTGTAGCTGTTGGGGTGTGAACACGCAGGAGCGCACTGAGAGGAGGATACAAGCTGCACACAATTAACAGAAACATAAATATCTCGCCATGCTTAAGCAAGCCATTAATCAGATATAAATAGAGCGAAGGAGCCCTTTGTGATTAACGAGGTGAGACTCTCTGCTAATTACTGTTTCCCTCTCCTCTGGTAATTAGGTTGCTGCTTTGAATAGGGATGACTGAGACTGCCCTGACCCTACCCCCCGCCCCTCAATACCAATCCACTGATGTGCGATTGCTTTTGTGTCTGCTTTCTTGTCTCTTTGTTTTAGGCATCTTCAAGAAGATGGTTGAGGTGAAATGTGTACCATCTTCTTTTGATCTGCAGATATAAAAGGAAGCTGGTCATATTTCTATATTGTACTCTGGCACCTGCAATGGCTAATTGGAATTTACAGGTGTCGGCGTTGGCCACCCAATAGAGCTTAGCTTGCCTATAGGACTTAAACCATGGGGGGGTGTGTGTGTGTGTGTGTGTGTGTGTGTGTGTGTGTGTGTGTGTGTGTGTGTGTGTGTGTGGCCATTGCAGCATCTTGATTCTTTTCTTTTGTAAAGATACACTTGGGATCATTGTCCTGTTGTATGGCCCAATTTCAGCCAAGCTTTAAACGCTGGGCAGATATACTTGTTCAGAGGTTTTCTAACTATACTGTTATGAATTGTAAGATTTCATTTGCTAAATGACGTTCTTGGAAAATTGTGTCATTGAGTTAACAAACACCTGAATGTTCCAGACAAACAAACTGCCAAAACATCTGCTTTTAGAGATGGTACATTTGTTAATGATCAGTTAATCATGAGCATTTGATTAGCTACTTGCCCTCTTAAGTCTCATAGAAGCACTAAAGATGTACTTAGTTTCTCACAGGTTTACACAGGGTACAAAGAATGCTTTCTTTTAAAATATTAATACAAAAATTAAGTTGGTGTGTTAGCAAAACAGCTGGGCAAACTTTGAACCTTCAGTCAGCCAAGTGATATATTGGAGATGTTAACCTGAAAATACTGGTGGAGCCAGAACCTGTTCAACTTGCCTGTTTGTTAAACTAGACATGTTTCCCTCTCTATCATAATTCCATGATAATGTGCTAAAGGAGTTATTAAAAGTTTTATTTAACATAAAGTAAAACTTATCGGTTATGATGAATCATGGCGGGGCCTTTTACTTGGAATGCTATGGTACCTACGTTTCCACACAACATCTAGTTCTCAGAGCAGTAAAAGCATAGTCAGGAGCAGCTTGTCTAGTGCACTAGTCTCCCATAAGTTTCCTGTCAAAGACCAGAGACTAGTCTACAAAGTACATGCACCAAAACCCTCCAAAAAAGGCTGCTTGCCACTACTTTGTGAGCAGGATACGGACACACTCACGAAAACAGATTCTATGTTCCATATTCCAATGGCTCACACTTGAACAGGTAATGGGAAAAGCTTAATTACAGAATTGTGTTTGAGATGGAAAGAGAGAGATTGCTTTTACTTAGTAGGCTTTAAGTGATGTCTGTTTCATTGGGCAAGTATTGACAGCCGTGCTTGCCCCGATGGAATGCCACTGTTCAAGTCAGAATATTTAAATCATTTCAGTTTGAATATCAGTTGATAGTGATGATGCAACATCTGGAATTTTAACTGTAGATATTATAGCACTGAGTATCCAAGGAACTCTGTTAAGTTACTGTTTAACGTTGTTATTTCTGAATATGATTCTGCACTTTCATGTATAGTGTAGAACAAATACTTGCAGCTTTTTATAGCTATTCTTTTTCTTGTTTTTGAAGCCATTTCACTGTCAAGTTAAATATACATCTAAATGAAGTATAACCAAATTTAAATAATACAAACATTAAATATCACATTTCCACATCCAGACTGCACCACTGTTTTCCTCCTACAACACACAGACTATCAGCTGACTGTAGCTCAAGTGGAAGTGAAACCTATAAGCTGGATCAATAGGCAAGGTGACTAACAATCCCAAGATTTTAACTAGTGATAACTGGTTCTCTACAGGGATCTGTTCTCGATTCTCATCCCTAATCTTGAGAAATGCTGAAGAAAGCAACCAGACTTTTTCCATTTAACTGAAGCATGAAATAGTTGTTAAAAATCCACTCCATGGAGATTTGGCTTTATGAGTTTGGCGAAATGACACCTCTGATGGATGCACATCACAGCTGTGTCAGCATTTCTCTCCTCCCAGGCCATAGCCTCTGACTACCAACAGGCTTACTTCACCACTCCCTGTCACAGACGCGTGGGTCTTGGTGATATACAAGTGTAATCTATTACTACGCACTTACACTAATTGTCTTCAGCTGGAAGTGGCTGCTATGACCTTTTTATGGGAAATGAAAATAAGTGGAGGCGCAGAACAGGCGATATTGGATTCTGTTGTTAATTAATGTGTGTATTATCTGGGTGGATGAAGCCAGGGGGAGGAAGTTAATTGAATTACAGTCAGCGAGTTGGATAATGCGCTGTTGTAATTGTTCGACTGCATAAGACAGTGCTCGCATTAGGGAGACGAAAGGCAGGCCTGATTTGCTTCAAGAGAATGGTAAGAAATTACTTGTTTGGTTTTGGGGTGTGAGGCATGACTGAGTTTCTAATTTAACTCTTGGGTTACTGTAAACATATGCACTATTAAAAGTTTGTGTGTTCACTGCTCATCTTTACAGTTCTGCACAGTACTAAACGCATCACAGAATCCCTGCTTATAGTGTTCAATTAGCCACTTATTAAATAAGTTATATCCTTTGTCCATTTCATTATTAATTATAGAACTAAAATTGGCTGCATAACCAACTGCTGTCTATGCCAAAAGACCGCAGTCCCAAAGCTCAGTGGTGCAAAGCAGTCAAAGCTTATTTCAATGTGGTGTTTTCCTCAGAAATTCACCATTTGGAGGAAGTGACAGGTAAGTGAGACGGGTAAGTGAGGAGAAGCTATTCTATAGTAATGAGAGACACAGCAAAATCTTGGCAACACTGAGCACGGTGCGTCATTGAGAACATTTCAACCATAATTTCTTTTCTCTGCCAAGTCTATTCATTGACAGCTTTTAAGGTTACAACAATAGGAATTATACTTACATTCCAACCAACTTCACCACAACCGCAAAGAAGACCTGGACAGTTTGCAGCCGCATATTAGCGAGTGTTGCGAGCAAGTTGTTATGGGGAAACCAGGTAACAAGGTGCCGACTCCTTTCAGCAGCAAACGAACACAATCCTCAGACTAACCTGAGTGAGCTTCACCACAAAACAATGACATGGTGAATATTTTGGCGTCCATAGATTAAAATAACAAAACAAAAACTGTCCAGCTTTGATGCAAGCCGGGCCCTCTTGGAAATCCTCCATAAAGATTTTCACGCATGCGTGAGTCCGTGGAGTTCAGCCAGCAGCAGGTCGAAACACTTGGTGCTGAAAACGCCACCTTCAAAGAGTGAAGAGTGTGTCACAGAGGGAATGGTCTGACTCTCTGAAGAAAATGTTAAAAATCAATGAAACTGTCAAAGAAACTACCAGAGAAGACAGAAGACGACCCGGAAACAATGGTGAGTCAGACTTACATGAAACTCCCGGAGGCCGTTGCTGAAAACATCACTTTTCATCATGTCCATCATTTGGGAAGTCGACCCAGACTGATCATGGCCAATTGCGAACACTTCAAACAGAAAGAGCTGGTGAAAAGCCACAGCCAGGAGCTGAGAGCAGGGCTGGACTGGGACAAAAAAAAAAAAAATCGGCCCGGGCATTTTGACTAGGAAAAGCCATAAAGCCTTTGAATGAAAACAGACGCTGTTGTGACAGTGACGTACACCGTCTTGTTGCTATGTATGATTTCTATACATTTTACATCAGATAAAAAGTTTGGTTGTATGATTCAGATAATTATTTAATAAAAACGAGACATTTTAAATGAGAATAAGAAAAGTATTTCTTTGTGCTTCCCTCTCACCAGATAACCTCAGCTGATACTAGAAAGTAATATTAAATAAATTCTAACAACAGCTGATCAAGCTTAACAGCTGATCATGCTGTTGTTTAGCACTACATCCACTGGTTTCCTTTTTCTGGTGCAAAGTGGGCGATAAACAAACAAGACACAAAAGCCAATCAGCTGATCATTGATCAGTTTCATGATTGAAGTAGCAACAGGAGAGGGAGGGGAGAGAATGAGAGAAGAAGAGGCAGCTGACAGCGTAAAGGCACAGAATAACTCCAGCTTTGTGTCTTTTTCCATTCTAGCTGAAGTACGGGACAAACTGTTCCTTTTCAGCTCGATACAAAACGCATAATATTTTCTCTGGATACAGGACGGCAACTCTATTAATTAACCTTATGAATAAAGTTCACTATCAGTAACATCATAGCACCCACCCAGCTGTATAGAAACTCCGTCATGCTAGCTAGTAGCAGTACGAGTTATTGTAACTGACTGTAAAAAGTCAGCACAACGAAAACAAACTCCACCTAAACTTGGTTTATATCTGACCCAGATAGACTGCAGGTCATAACTTCTTACCTGAAATTCAGTTCACCGCCTCGGGTCTCTGCTCCTCCTGCCTTTCCGTCATCCACCTGCCAGCGTGTTGCATCTGCTGGCCTCCACCACTTGCTAATGTTACT